TTTTTTCTCTCTCCATTTATTATATTGTGAATAAAAGATAACACATTAAACATTACTGATTATCTGCTCCGGTGTCTGGAATACAGAGTCCTTATCTGCTCCGGCTGGAAATTAATAGAATATCCAGCAGCAGCGTGAGGATTTTATTCAAGTTTACACACCGATTTGAATACTGGTATCCATCATAATAGTGAGGTTTGTATAATAACGGCACAATCGGAATAAATTCTGCTTTAAAATATGCTGATTAGAAAAAAAAAGCAACGACCTCTGCTTTCAGAGCCGTCCGTGATTTATGCTCTCAGAAGCCGTAACGGATTACAGTTACAACTTCTCCTCGCCTGTAATTCATTACATTTCGCCACAGATGTCCCGGCAGACGATAACAGAGCTCCCCCCGATAATTATCTAATCACACAAGGTCTCATTACAAGCAGCGCAGACAAGACACATGATTACATGTTGCTAATTAAGGCCGAGCTAACGGGAGCAGGAGAGCAGCTCTGATTGTCGGCGGTGAAGAGGCTCATTCTGGGAGCGTTTTACAAGTTTACGCTGGAAAAAAAACAAACGTTTGTTCTTAGATGTTCTCTGTTTAGCTACCTTACAGATAATAACTGGAACAATGAGAGAAAAAAAGGTTTTAATTTACATATTGACGGTAAAAATAAAACAAAAACAGTGAATAATGTCCACATCAAAAAAAAAGAAAGAAAAAAAAGAAGTCAATATTTCAAAGAAGAGTTATGAACATTCAGGATGTTTTTTCTAAATTTTTCATTTTTAAAATTATTTATGTTAATATTTGAAAATCAGTAAATAAGTTATAATAATAATAAAAATAATAATAGGAAAAATGTTGATTATTTTACATTTTATTTTACAAATAAATATAGTAAAATAAAATAAAAAATGTATTCATTTACACGTTAACCCTACAAAAAGATCCCAAAATGGTAAATAATGTCCACATCAAAAATATGTATTTTTACAAATACGAATTAGTTCTTTGACAACGTTTGACCATAAAAATAAACTATTTTTATTGTATTTACATAAACAAAGCTGCAGATTCTGGTGAATTAGTCTCAGCTTGATGGAAGCTCGTTTCTGACTTCATTTCTTTTGACTGCCGTGCAAATGAATCCTCGTTCATCGGCTTGATTTGCTCAAAGTAAAAGCTCCGAACACGTTTACCGCTGCATCAATTTGCAGGAGAAAAAGCCTCAGATTAATTTTTAGTGGCTAAACGAGCGGCGGCTTTGTTTCTGCGCGTTCTGATCAGTAATTCACTGCAGACGCACCAACAGATCTCATGGAGGCTAAACAGGTTTTTCATCAGATGAAAATGACTTTTTTTTT